AGTTTCTTTATTATTGACCTATTATTAGAAACTATATTATTTATATATGTTGAATTGTATGCTTCTCTGTAGACAAATTGACTTAAAAGACTAAAAATGATCAGTGGTGTTTTTTCTCCCCCCACACACCAGAGGTGATGAGCCCGGCTGTGGTAACTATCTCTGAGTCAGGGGACACCAGCGTTCGGGTTAGTTGGGGTCCTCTTCAGCCAGAGACGGTCACAAGTTACTACATCGAGTACTCAGCCCTGCCCAAGGGCAAGCTCCACGCCACCACAGTGAGCCGAACGCAAAACTCTACGCTCCTCAGAGACCTCCAACCGGATACCACTTACTTGGTCACCGTCACTGCCCGGCACACCTCGGGCAAGGAGAGGGCCATGTCTGTCAAAGTGTGTACTCAGGAAGGTGAGCTGCGTGAGGGAAAAGCAGTCAATCTTGGTGATCAAAGATCCGTTTACTGCACCTTAATCCTAATCCTATGCAGCCCAGTCCTTCCTGGATCTTAAATTTCAGATAATTACTAGCAGTTACATTCAGGTTTGACTACTCCAAGGGTAGTTCTGAGCAGCTAGAGGAGCTTGAGCCTAACAGTCACATTTTTCTATCTACTGTATGAATTCTGTTAAAGCTTTTCTGTTTTCCTTCCTTTTTTTGCTCCTCATCATTTTCTAAAATGCTCTTCTCAGTTTTTTCTCTCTTTTGAAATATACTCTGACTAACATCTCTGTGGTCTCCATCTCCAGCGACTCCAGCCCTGGCAGACCTCCAGCTGACCACAGTGGGTAGTGACTCAGTGCAGGTTGACTGGAAGGTCAGTGTAGGTGGTCTGAGGGGCTACTGGCTCACCTGGGAAGAACAGCAAAGCTCTGTCCCTGGCCAGCGTTCCTCCCTCTATTTGCCGCCCGACTCTTTGTCAACACGCCTCACACACCTCCCCCCATCGGCTAGAGTGTGTGTGTCGCCCATTTACCGGACGGTGCGGGGAGAGGGACTGTGTTGCACGGCGCAGTTTCATTCAGGTGAGTGGTGACAGGGTATGTGACCATTTTGCATTATGAATAAAATAGCATAAAAACTGGAAGGAGGTAAAACAGCCAGGCTGCCTCTCTCCAAAGTTCCAAAATCCACCTACAAGGACCTCTAAAATTTTACATATTTCATTTTGTAATCCATATATAAAAACTAAAGTAAAATTGACTGTTTTTAGGGAGTTATGTGGTGTAACTGTGAAATACACCTGCAGCCGGACCATTGGTTGTGCACAGAAATTAATGCGATGCGTTTGTGTTAAAAAGCAAGTATATATCCGGTTCTAGAGATGTCTGTGGTTAGTAGATTTTTTTTTTACTTTGGAGGACAACGGGCTAGCTGTTTCCACTCTATAAACTAATCTCAAGCTTTTGAGGTATCAATCTCTGAGATTTCTGTTTATATCCCAATACCATGGAGGTCAACAGAATTTTGTTTGCGGCACTCAACGTCTCTTTTCAGGATCAGTTTCCTGGTTAAGGTGGATAATCCACCAACAATTTTTATTTTATCTACTTTTTAGTGGAGTAATAATCCCTAAAATTACATTTTTTAAATGTCATTTGTTTTCTCCGTGAACACCACAAATGAACTCCCATTCAACTCTATTGTACTGGGTTGGAAGAAAACTTAAAACAGTTATTTCAAAATCGAGGCAAATAAAACCTGTCTGCATGTCTTGATCCCACAATAAGTAAGTCAGAAAATATGTGTTTTTGTAATTTGTGTGATCAGCCCCTTTCAGCTGGAACATATTTCTGTTGGACTGAATGAATAGTCTGACGGTAGTGTTCACGGACACAAGAAAATTCATAACACTTGCCAAAATGCTTAAATGTATAAATGTCAGTCTCTCAACTGCTGTTTTCTCCTTCTGCTCTCTAGATGCATTAGCATACGGCTACCAGTCATAGCACCTCTGACCTGCAAGTGCACCTTACCAAACATGGAGGGACGATGATGGCAAGAAGAATGCTGACTTTCATCCATAATTCTTTCCCCTGCCTCTCCCCTCTGTGGATATAATCCAGGAGAGATGTGTGGTTTGGCTTACTGAGCACTCATGTAGAAGCCATAGACACTTGAGAGTGGTCTGGGACAGTATGGCCACATGTTGACTGCTACAATCTGCAACACAGAGGACTATTTGCTTCTCCATTTCTATTGTCTCATCTGGTTTACACCTGTAGTAAATGTACATTGCTTCAGTTTAAAGATGCAAGCTAAAGATAAAGATATTTCTTAGGTCTGGTTTGCAGATATAGAGCAGAGCCTGCTGGGAATGTAAGATGTTTTATGTGGCTTGTTTTGGAGAAAGGCTTTGCACCATATGTGGGCCTCATGCCCAAATCAGCATTTAAAAAACAGTCCTGCTAACACTCAGAACATCTGATTTACATTTATAATGAATACTTATGAAATGTACTTAAATTACTTCTCTTTCAGCACATGCTTGATACTCGTGTGTGCACACTGGAGTGCAACAAGGGAGCGTTAGCATGCGGTCCCTAATAACAGGATCTTCAGGATCGCTTTGAACTTTCAAGAAATTACGAACAGACCAAGCCATATGCCCTGAAACTACGGAGATGCTGCATATGATACAGATGTGTGTAACTGAGAGTAGTCTTGTATTGGTCTCTGGACATAGATTCATCATCCATATTTATTAATTAACAGTCATGTAAGTATGAGAATTAATAGCGTAAAGTATTTACAGACGTGCTGTTTACATTTTAAGACTGTTACCTTTTTTAAGCCAATCTTTGCTGCCCCCTACTGATAGCATCCTTACAGGCTTACAGCTGATCTTTTACTGTTATCCTCTCAGAGCAAATGTACTGTTTCATGTTTGTTGACCACTATTGAAATTTAACATGAGCTTGCAATAAAGTCCTAATAATTTTGTTTATACTAATTGTCCTGTTTTCATTATAGTACAATCCAACATTGTGGACTAATATTAGGGCTAAATATTCTGATGAATAGCCTTTTTGTCAGGGACACATTTTACATGTTAAAGTCAGTTTACACATCATGAGGAGTGCCTCTTAGGGCTATGAAAACAGTTGTATAATGTCTTTGCAGCTGTGCATGCAGAGAGGGTATGAAAGATGTTGGGAAATGTAGGATTCAGCATTTTGGAGTTTGACCCATTCTAGGGAATAGAATTCAAGATTTCTTAGCCTCTGCGATTTAGACAACTCTTTTAAATTGAAAGTCCCCCAACTTTTTGCAAATGCAATACGAAATTGCCCCATCTCATAAAATAATATTCACAACAAAACTAGTTTCTATGAAAAACTATTTAGTGGTTTGCCTTTATAATTTGTTACAAATTCTGGGAAATGCAGCGTTTTGGCTCAAGTTTTGTCTAGTTTAGGTAGCGAATACAATCTGTACGATGTTATTGTGGGATAGCAGATGACAGCCAAGCCAACCCATTTTTCTGTTTCTCCTATTAGATAGGAGAGCAGGATTCAACACCTGCACATGTCATCAAAGATCCTGTCATCTCTCACATGAGAGTGGTCTAGCTTTGTCACAATGTACTGAATAGGTATATTAAGCTAAAAACTATGATTTATGATTGATTCTTTTAAATAGGCTTCAGTTATTTAGGGAAAATGTAGCTGTATGATAAGAGTTTGGTAGAGTAGAGATGAAGGTCATGCTTGATACACAGATTCTGGTGCATTCATTCTTGCAGGCTATTTTTGCTTTACTTTAAGGGAAGGTTTCTTGTGTTTGGATTATAATGTAAATTAGGCCTTGAGAACAGCCTCATTCTCAGTCTCATAAACTGACTGACATAGTTGGAATACAAGTACAATAGGCTACTGAGTGGCAGAACAGGCAAGTTTCATATATCAAGGCTTCCCCCTGCAGGTGAATGAAAGCATCTTCAACTGTCTGACTGTGACTGCCAGTCTATTAATTGTGAGTTATCATTTTGATAAACATTGGTGATTTGTCAATCTTTTCTGAATTAAATATATTAAATGTAGAACGTTGATCCATAGGTCAAATCCTAAAACAATCCTTATCAAACAGCCTAAAAATTCTGTCTTCAATTCTGTCAGTCTGTCATTTATAAGGTTAATAGCTCAGCAACTGCATACCATGACAATATTGTATATGATTTATACTCTGTAATTAAACTTTTTACTGTGATAATATACAATTTTACCTATACAATAACGGCTGAGCTGACCAAATCACGAGTTTGCTTAACTCCAATTTAGGCTACACTGACTGATAGGGATACTGATGATCAGCAAAAAAAGCTTTGTGCATTCATGTTTTAGTTTTTTAAATTCGGCTTAAATTAATGAAGTGAAGCTTGAAAAAACATGTTGCATGAATGTTGATATTTGGTCCAACTTCCTCAATAAGTGAACATATTTTTATATACAGATTTCTGAAACATACTGGAATTAAGCCTTCTGGTTCTGATTATCAGGTGACCTTTGAATACCAGTTCAGGAGCTACTCTTTACTCATGCAAACTGGTTCAGGGCACCCTAATATTACTGTATATGGGACTGTAATACAAAAGTATAGGCTACCCTTTTTCAAAACCTGTTTAATCTTTGTTTCATCTCGTCTTCTTGTTTTAGTTTTTTTTTCTTTACAAACAAAACATTTTGTCACTCAGAAAACCTAGAGTCAAACCTTTTGCAAAATGATTCTACATAATGTAACTTCAATTTGATCCTTTGTTTTATTTCATTTTAAAATCCTGTGAACTTTATCAGAGCCCCTAAACAACACGCAAACCTCCCTGAGATGAAAACAAAATATTCCTATCATTTCTATTAGCCACCACGAAGACAAACATTGTTTGGTTCAGAGCTGACGGAGAGTGCTTGAGTGGACGCCAAGAAGGATTACGAGCGGAAGGGAGTTCACCAGGAGCCCCTGAAGGCAACATCGGGTCTGACGCAGTTGCTGCAGCAGCGCGGTAGGGGGCGTCATTCTCCGGATCCTCCCATCAAGCTGCAATATCCAAGCCCTGACATTGCGAAGATGGAGGCTGTTATGGTCTAGAACAGGAAACACAGAAAGCACAAACTGCGAGTTTCAGAGCTTTGTTATGACAACATTTCCAGTTGGTGCAGGTAAATGAAAACTCTACGGGTTACTTAGCTAGCGAGCAAACGTCAGCACCTCAGCAGAGTTAGGTAGCTCACGTTAGCTCACGTTAGC